GCCCACTGAGGGCCTGCAGGACTCCCAGTGCAGCGCTTCTTGGACATATGGGAGTTGAATGGTCAGCTGGAATATGTATGTCTGCATATATGTGTGTGTATGTCTGTGTGTATGTGCCTGTTTGCCAGGGCTGACAATGCGTAATGCATTTGTCATGCCAACAAGGCCAAGCAGGCACAAAAACCCTTTCTTCTTAATCGAGGCCCACAGGGTAATGTGGTAATACAGATGGGGCCTGTCATGCTTTTCTGAAAAGCAAGATGAGGAGGAGGAGGAGGATGAGCAACATGAAGAGGTGGATGAGGGATTCATCTGGCCTCTGCGGGTGATGGTTTCTCTATTAGAGGTAGAAAATTGGGTTGATAGGTAGATGCAGGTAGGTGTTTTAGTTTCTTTCCACATTGATTAGAAGTTGGTTTCTTTTCAACTTATTTTTTTTCTCTTTTGAGAGATGAAAGAGAGCAAAATAAACAGAAGTATAAAAAAGGAAATAAACGGTACAGAAAAGGAGAAAATATGTCTTGAATATTCTCTTTTACAGCAGCGTCTTCATTACTTATGCACCATCCCACATGAATCTGCCATGCGTTATTTGGACATATGTCAGGTCGGCTCAGCTTTTGTGATGTGGTGTGCTTGTTCAGAGACTCACCCTCATTTCCAGGGAGGGCGGATAAAAGATTTAGGGGGGTTGGAAACACTGGACTGTAGTTATTTCCCTCTGTAATCCACTGGTATATAAATCTAACTGAAAAAAATTGCTCAGTAGAGCAAGCTGACTGTCTGTCTAAAATATGGAGATTCAGAGTGTCATCGTCTACCTTGGTTATTCACTGTGGTGTAAATTAAGGACAATTCCCTTCAGGTTGTCCCAGTTTCCAAATGCTGCAGACCTGCAAAGCTGTAACAGATCAGCTTTCACTGCACTCTTTCAATTTTCTCCATTTCCACTGTAAATGGGTCCCACAGGAGGGACAGTGGTTCGCACTGTCACCTAGGTTTCCTCAGGGTGTTTCCGCCCCATTTATCCAGAGCCATGCAGATGAGTTGGACTAGTCCACATTGCCCTAATGTGTGAATATTGTTTACCTCTGCCTGTCTTTGTCTGATGTTTGAGAGATGCTGAGTGGCCTGGGGTTTCCCAGTGCAGGCTAGAATACGCTTCAGCCCCTGGTTATCCTGACTGAACAATGAACCCGTCTTATGTAATTCTCCATAATTTGTACATTGTGATCATGTATTGTCCTGCGCGCCTTCGGTGCCAAGATTCCCCAGATGGACAATAACGATTGGATTCTGAGCCTGAATTTGGACTTGCTGCCCAATACTGCTGCCAGGCAGTACCCAGAAGAGGGTTAGAGATGCTATGCTATGACCAGATGATGCTAACAGGAAACCCTAATGTTAAAATTATTGAAAGCAGAAATCCACAGAAATACTCCTTCTGGGGGCAATGGTAGTGTGTCAAAATAATCCACCACAGAGACTTGGGTTCAGTTCCCAGTAGTGGCGCTTTCTGCGTGGTAGGGTGGTCAAATGAATCCAGCTAGCAGTGTTTGCGAATGGGAAGCCAGTGAGGGATTGGACCTTGTTGCTTCATTTTTAAGTTGGTTGGTACAAGCTCTCCAACCTCCATGACATGTGACGAGAAGGGACTGTGAGTAGACAGATATTTGTTTATGGCCTCTAACAATGACCAAGAACTAATATGAAGTCTGAGAAAACCAGAATCTACAGCCATGCTAACATGCACAGTGACATTGATAGTGATATTAACACTGATGGCTGATCGCTGATTATGATTCATCTTGCGGGGGACATGTCTGTACCAGAATTCACTAAATAAAGAGAAAGATATTTCAGTCTGGACCAAAGTGGTTAACCAACCATTTAACATTGCCATCCATCGGGCCACGCTACTAATGTGGCTAAAATGTTGAGACAGTATATCTTCTCTTTCAAGCCACAAAAAACTGTTGACCACCAGGTTCTTTGTATTAATATTACAGTATTGTTGCCTCATTTTATCAGCGTCGCACTGTTTTAAACTAGAGGCTGTATTTATGAATCAATAGAGATTTTAACCTAAAGATCACAATGAAGATATCTGTAGGCTGAACAACTAATTTCAGAAGTGTAACTGCATTGTTGTCCCTCATTGTCCAGTTGGTGGAGCAGAACATGCTGTTGGAAGGGAATCAACGCCTCCCAGCAGGCCTTCACTAACCGAAACTGCTTGCATCAGTAGCCCAGCACAGCGGGTCCCTGGGGACATAACACGCAGATGTGCACACATAAATACTTCAATTCTGCTACTCGTATTGACATCAATGAGCACATACAATGGCAATGCTGATAATTTAACAATATAGAAAGTCTTCAGTGCTAATGAACCATAAAGAGCATTTGAAATGAATGTAACATGGGTCATGGATTAATTTAGTAGCTCTTTCCCCAACATGTGACAGCTAACATGATTGGATACATGCAAAGAGCTTTAGATAACCAAATAGTAATAATAGATTCCAATTAAAGTACATTCTCTTCACAACTACACTGGGGTTTCATCAACATAAGGGAAGATTTACTTGAGAATATTTTTTCCCAGCTTCAGCCTCCTTTTAAATTCATTGTGCCACCGACATTCATACCTGAAAGCTGTTCTGTAAAACTACACTCTTCTGGTTTGGTAGAGAGCAGATGGACTAAGCAAGGTCAGGGGTTAAGCACACTGCTCAGAGGCACCTTTTCTTCAGGGAAGAAAGAGTATAAACAGCATAAGCATGAGCATAATTTTGTGGGTGTTTAAGGTTTTTTCCGCAATCTTGTATTACACTGAGGCTGCAGTGGTATTTAATAAGGCCAAGGCAGCAACACTTCACTGTAACGCTATGGAAACGGTAATATTTTAGTTGTACATTGCAGATAAAAGAGGAAGGAAGATGTGACTTGACTAAAGAATGGATCTGTAACCTCTGTGTGCATACAAACCCAGCACAACACTCCTTGAGTTAAAATTTTTTCACACCTCTTGGCAGAACTCAGCCAGGCTTCACGTCTGCCCATCACAATCCTGCAAAATAATAGGAAGTAACTAAAACACTAACTCGCAGGGGTAGACGTACAAGAGCTCTCACACATGCACTGTGCTTAACCTCATAATGGTTGCTGTATCCAAAACAGCTCAACCTGCATTACACCATTGTCTGAACGAGGCTCTGCGGTTGTTGTGTTCAGAAGCAGCCTGAAGAATGAAGAATTGTGTTTCTGTGTGCGAGACCGAATGTGTATGGGTGTCTTAGTCAATCACAGAAGTGAATAGCTGCACTTATAGGCTGCAGTGTCCTGTGGTGTAAAGAGTAAGAGAGAGAGAAATGGTGCATGGGAGGAATTTTCAAGCTTGCTTCAATGGAGCCTGTGATATCGTGAAACAGATTAACGATATTAGATGGTATTAAATTTGCGAACCCATTAAAGGGTAGGTTTACATTTTTCAAGCCTGTCTTAAAGGAGATTCAGTTCAGGTTTTTTTTATTTTGAAGTGGGGTTGTATGAGGTACTCAAACCCAGTCTGAGAAGCAGATGGGAGTACCGCCACAGAAGCTAAGTAATGTACTGCTGTAGACGGGGTCAGCAAAAAAAACAATGTATTTTAGCCATCTCAACAAATCTATCAGTTTAAGTGTACGCTATATTTAGAATATTTTTACCACTTTACTTTGCCATCAGACAGCTCTTTCCAGCAGGGAACAGAAGCCACTATATTGCTCCCTTCAAAGCCACCAGACTCCTTTTGACAAAAACAGTAATTTTACCCCCCAGAACATGAGAGTTGCCTTGATCGGTTAGCTCGTGTTTATTGTGAACTCATATAAACTACAGAAATGACAGAAAGGAGTAAAAAGATGCCAGGCATAACTTAAGTTAGACTGTCATTCTCAGGCTGAGCTATATCAGTGTACTGAAGAGAGAGAAGGGGAAACAAAATGGTGGAAAGCCAGGCTCATTAAGTTAACTCACAGGAAGTCATTAGCAAAAGGCTAAGACCACGAGCCAACAGCTGCAAAGTCCCTCATTCTATCATTTTGTAAAGCATCTCTTTTTAAGAAAATGAACGAGAACATAGGCAGTAGCACTTTGATGTGTGAGGTTCCCTTTAAAGCCACTAATGTCAACCTTATGGTGGCACTAGAGAAAATGTCAGGGGATCACCAAAGCCAGTAGGGGATCATGAATGTCAGCACTGGACCAAAGTGGTGGATCGACCATCACACACTGACGTTGCCATCTGTAAAGTTATGCTGCTAGTGTGGCTAAAAATGATCTTAAGTAAGGTAGTTACTCGTGTTAATCATCACCTGAGAGGTTTGAGCGTGTGTGTGTCTGTGTGGGGGTGTGTTACTTAGGGATTTAAACGAGGTAGTGAGAAGTCTTATTTTTTTTCCTTCTGTTTTACAGTAATGAGACAAAGAAACGCATTTAGGTCTGGTATCATTCCACATTTCTGATGCTCCAGTTTTTGCTTCCTAGAACCAAGCCAGAGTGTTGTTGCCAAGCAAAAACTAGCCAAGATCCTTACATACTGACTGGAAATGCTATTAATTGCCATGGTAACGCAGTAACTGCTCCAGGAAGCACGGTGGAGCTTTTCTGATTTCAAAAGTGGATCTTTCCTCTGTGGATGGATAGATGGATGGCTCTGCCTTCATCAAAAGGGAAATAGACTTGTTTTATCTGTCAAGGTGACACTGAGTGATGATAACCGTTGTTTTAAACTAGATTATAAATTTGATTTGGCCGCGGACACACATGCAGGGCTCAGTCACACATAACTGCGGGATGAAAACACTGACAAATGACAAAGAAGAATGATTGCATGTATAAATCTCACGTGTACCACCTACAATATGTGCAGCTATCACTCACTCTTCTTCCTTCTGGCTCTTGCAGTGAAACCGACAGTCATCGATGTGGGCATATATGTCAACAGCATCGGGCCTGTGTCATCCATCGATATGGTGAGTTAAAGTGTTTCTCTCTCTCCCTTTCTCCCCCAAGTCCCACACACACATTTGTCCATTGTCCGACATTAGCATCATCGTACATGAGTGCTGCCATCGCTCACGCTGTATTTGGAGGTCGTGTGGGCCACCGCAGCTGTTTCTGTGGCGAAGGAAGCCAGGAAAGACAGGTGTGGACGCTTTGTTCACGTCCCGTGGATCAGCTCGGATTAAGCAGATGAGTGAGTTTAAAAACCCAGATGAGTAATAGAAAATCTGCTATGAAAGCTATCGAGTTAGACAGCAGTGTCTCTATGGAGGGAGAATACCACCTCCTCAGCACAACAAAGTCTTATTTTCTTCCAGTTTTTCTGCTTTTTTTTTTAGCTTTATTTAGTAACTGGATCCTTTGCACCAGCATGGTAATTCCCATAACAAAGTTTGACTAGAAGGAAAAAATGGTTTTGGAAAGACTCCAGGACATGGATCAATGCATATTTCATTATGGGAGGCCTGATCAGATGCCATAAAACATGAAATGCAGAAAGTGAAAGCTTGATGAGCTGTAATGAGAAAATAGCTACTTTTCAGACAACTAAAAGCATAAGCAGTCTGTTGTTTGGCCTTGAATGGAGTACGGCAGCCTAAATGGATGCAGCCATTAATTTTTCTGCTTGAAAATTCTCTCTCAAAACATCACAAATGTATTGCTTTGCAAATATTAAATGAGCTTGACGTGATAGCGTTTTATCTCTGAACTTACCAGATCGCCAGATGTTGAGTTGTGACGGTTGCCTTGGCAACTTTAAATATTCCAGATATAAAAGCAATTTAGATTTTTTTTGTCTTTTTTTTTTTTTACTGTCAGCACTACCCTGCAACTTATATTATTCAAGACAGCATCTGCTCATTCCAAATTAAATTAAAAGAATAATATATTATTCCATGGACTAATGTGCTGCACTGAATGTCATTTTATTTCATTTCATTTTTGGGGACTTTTTTATTGCCTTTAATTGATAGAGACAGCTGGAGGTAGACAGGAAAGGGGGGCAGAGAGACAGGGGACAACACGCAGCAAAGGGCCGCAGGCCGGACTCGAACCCCGGGCCGCTGCAGCAAGGACTTAGCCTCGGTACATGGGATGCCAGCTCTACCAACTTAGCTAACCAGGCGCCCTATGTTTGGCATTTTAAATGAGTGCAACTGTACACAATTGTCCCACATTAAGAGGGATAATTCAGCCTAGTGCCATAGTCTGATAGACTGTAGTAGTTCCATACAACTCAGCTCAAGCAAGTAAATTGCTTTTACATAGGCATCTTTTTCCATAGCATTATACAATAAACCAATTTATAATTTGCAATCTAAATTAACTTTTTTTTTTTGAAAAAAATAATA